CACACACACACACACACACACACACACACACACACACACACACACACTTTTCTCTTTGCCTCAGTCTTTCTTTCTCCTTCTATTCAGTCCCTCTTTCACTGTAGCATACTTCCCACATTGATGCCATGGTTAGGCTCTAATTATTACTGGTTTTATATGTGTTGTTTGGGTTTGTGGTTTAGTTTTGTATTTTTGTGTATGAACATGTTTAAATGCTTGTTCGTCTAAGACGGTAATAGATTTATTTAACATTTCTGCTTAAAAAATAGTGTTTTACTCAATAAGACAACACATTGCAGCAGTGAGTCTACCAACCCTCACTGCCAACACATGAATGCACAGCAGTATTTTACCGGTGTTTGTCTAGTGTAATCATGTTTCCTGTGAAAACAGAAAATATTTGCTATTTACAATGTATGCGTTGAGAGTTAAGAACAGTTTAAAACACAACTTCAGACATTTTATTCTGTAAGATTGGTTTACCTAGGCCCTGTTAAAGTCTACAAAATAAATGAAACAGAAGGTTCCTCTGTAGCCTCTGTATCTCTTTTTGATTTGAGCTCTGGAAACAGGATAAACTGTTTGCACTCCAGTATTAATGAGTTAGTCTAGCAGCAATCTAACAGCGCCATAAATGACATGATATAACCACAGTAACACTAAATCACACATAAAGTTGTCTGTAAATTGACAGAGTAGGTTTTTACTTTGATTTATGTGTTTTTACCTCTGATCCTCCACATCCCTCACTTTGACACGAAAGATGACACACTGCGAACTCTACACAATAGTTTTTTCTCAAAATATATTTATTGATATGGGGTGGCCGTGGCTCATAGAGAGGGCAACTGTAAGGTCGGAAGTTCGATCCTTAGCTGCTACGAGTCCTGTGCGCTTCTCAGCAGCCCACTCATCCAATACGCTAGCGATGGGTTAAATGCAGAAGTTACATTTCATGTATATGTACCTAATGTATTACGACTACAATACATTTCATTCATATTTTATTTTTTTCCCATAATTTATAAATTTTTCTGAAAGTAATGACTTTATTCTCAAATTTAGTTTTAGTTTTTTGTTTTGTTGTTGCTCGTATTTAGTCCTTTTTACATAAAGCCTCTGCCTCATACATTGTCTACAAAATGGTTTAACTAAGCTGTGTACTATCACTATACCACAGAAGTACACGCAGAACTAATACTGAAAATACTGTACCTGTGAAGAAAGTGACCCCATCTTGATTCCCTACTGTTCAGTAAAGGACTGAGGAGAGAGAGAGAGAGAGAGAGAGAGAGAGAGAGAGAGAGAGAGAGAGCTCAGTCTACAACATCATTGCAAGGACTTTTACATGGGCTGTTGAGGTTGACCAGCGTTGTCAATCATTAATCAGTTACTGTGCTTATCATTGTATCCATCACCTTAACGTATTGTAGACCAATCCATTGTGGTCTCTTGCAACTGGTCTGAGGTCAGTTTGTTTTGTGAAACCAACCAATACAACACTGGGTTAGGGTCTTTTCTATTCTATTCTATTCTATTCCAGTTGGCTATAAATACACTGGAGTGTTTTGTTGTTAATCAGCCACTTGAAGTTGTCAGCTGTCCCGCTGGAAAGTGAATGCAGTGAGTCAGCACCCTTGTCAGTATATTTTTGACTTCCTTTATCTCCTGTCAGTTCACTCTGCAGGCTTACCCTACCTGTCTGTCTGTATTTCTGTGTGTCTATCGGGGGATGAGTCATCAGACTCATCTCCATTTCCCTCCCCTGTCAGTCCTCAGTGGTGGCAACACACACACACACACACACACACACAAATATATCCGACACAAATCGCATAGTTTGCTCTTTGGTTTCAAATCGTTCTATTCCCCAAAAACCCTGACTCACAGAAAAATCCTTTCAGACCGATATAACAGTGATCATCATCCTCACGTTACAGCGCCTCGCCCTGCTTTCCAAATGCATAATTCATAGATAGTTTATTCATTTAGCGGGTTTAATTGTTGATTTGCCTGCATCTCGTATTGTGGTGTAAATGTTTTGGCTGCGGGTGACACGATGGCACAAAGACACACACACACACACACACTCACACACGTAAACAAGTGGGGATGCGAGATAGCCCACCTGGCTGGTTGGGAACAAAGAGTGGATTGACAGTTTGTCAGTACTTTGTCCCAGTCCACTGAGTCGCCAAATGAAACATTAGGCTCTCGTGGGGGATTTCAGAGTCACACACATGCATATACACACTCGCATATACGCACATTTTTGTGAGAGGAAATATGTCAGGAAATATCTTTCTCACACGTGTTTAATTTATTCAGTTCTTTTCTCTCCGTTTGAAAAGCTCCTCTTCTCCTTGACAGTGTTTTTCCCTCTTGGTTCTGACTTGTTAAGATTAGAGCCATCTGCAGGACTAAAGGGTAAAGGGACAAGGTTGCAGTTAAACAAGAAAGCTGGCTTATTTATGGGAAGCACAAAAGTGCAGAAAAAAAAACAAGGACAAAAGAAAAAACAAGTTGGATCAGCAATTTGCTTCAAGTGCTCTGAAGTGAAAAACTTCAAGATTCTTGTGATGTTATGTGATCTGCCTTATTCTTTGTTTCATAAAGCAGTATTTTAAAAATAATACCGTATCATTTTCTTTTTTTAAGCAAATATGATGTTATGATGATGTGTTTTTGCAAAGCTTGGGTAGTAACATTGGAGAAACACGCAAGAGTAAGCTAGATTTTTTTTTTTACATGTATCCAACCAAAAATCCCGGCCCAGCAGCACTAGCTTCAAAAGTTGCTAAATTCAGTGAGAAAGTTGCCAACACTGACTCTTCAGGCCTCCCTCCAAAGCCACTCCCCCCAAATTTACATTATGAACACAAACAACAAACATGGCTATTGTTATTTCTCACAGCTGTCAAGCTAGCAGCTTGTGGAAGACTCCGGT